CCGAGTACCAAGTGCTCCTGCAACATTCCGCCGTGTGAGCAGTTCACCGGGCGCTGCCAGTGCCGGGAGCGAATGTTTGGCCCGCGCTGTGACCGCTACTGTCAGTGCTACAAGGGGAAGTGTAACCAGGTGGATGGTACCTGCACCTGTGAGCCGGGCTATCGGGGCAAGTACTGCCGGGAGCCCTGCCCAGCTGGCTTCTACGGACAAGGCTGCAGGAAGCGGTAAGTGTGCAGGGCCTGTTCACCGGGCGCTGCCAGTGCCGGGAGCGAATGTTTGGCCCGCGCTGTGACCGCTACTGTCAGTGCTACAAGGGGAAGTGTAACCAGGTGGATGGTACCTGCACCTGTGAGCCGGGCTATCGGGGCAAGTACTGCCGGGAGCCCTGCCCAGCTGGCTTCTACGGACAAGGCTGCAGGAAGCGGTAAGTGTGCAGGGCCTTGGGTGGGTTTGGGCCCCCATGCTGCACTTGGCTCTGGCCTTCCAGTGCTCTTGCAAGTTGAATGCAGTCCCTGCTGCACTTGCCTTGTGCAATCATGGCTTGGTCTAAGAGCCAGTGATCCGGCTGGAGGGAGGGACCCAAGATGAGCGCGGCAATGTTCAAATGATGGCTAACATTCTGGGTTGCATCTGTAGATGTGGGCAATGCAAAGGGCTGCAGCCCTGCACCATTGTGGATGGCCGCTGCCTGGCCTGTGAAGCTGGCTGGAATGGCACCAAGTGCGATCAGGCTTGCTTGTCGGGCTTCTACGGAGATGGCTGTGAGAAAATCTGCCCCCTGTGCAAAGACGGCCACACCTGTAACCACATCAATGGCAAGTGCTCACACTGCAATCCCGGCTGGATAGGAGACAGGTGAGTGGAGGCTGGGAGGCTGCTTTGTGACAATCCGGACTGCATGCTCTTGTGCTCTTCTGTTGGCCAAAGTGGCGCAGGCTACACAGGACATTTGGGCACTACCTTTATTAGACCCATAGTCCCCTGACACCTGTCCTTTGCCTTAACTACTAGGTAATGCTTTCCTCTGAAAGCCCTCTTCTAGGGGCGGCTCTCTCCTCCTCCCAACGGCATCCAACACGCTGGCACCTTCTGTAGCGCTCAGTCAGCATGCCCCAATCCCGTCACGGAGCCACCCTGCTGGAGACTCTGGTCAGTCATGCACGGACGTTGCCCTGGCCAGTGTGATTGTTCTGGCCCTCACCAGCTTCTTGCAAGGGCAGGGAGTGCAAAAGGTTTCCTGCAGTCCCTGAAAGCCACCAAACTCACCCGTTTGCTCCCCGCTCCCAGGTGTGAGCCCATGGGACACAGAACCCAAGGGAGATGCATGTGGCTCTGAGAGGAGCACACAGCACAGAATGCAGCATCAGAGCCCAGTACAACAGAAACCCCTCACACAACCATGTCTCTGTTGCCCATAGCATGTTCCTCCTACAATGGAGCCTGGCCTACTTCAGCCTGCAGGGAAACAGAGCCCTAGTGCCCTCAGCCAGACCCTCTCTGCCAGACGGAGAGAGAGAATGGCAGCCCCTTCCTCTGTGCCCAGAAGCTGCCTGCTGAGGACAGAGCTGTGGCCTCTTGCCTGGCATTGCAGAGGCTGTGATGAGTGCTGCCTAGATCTGGTGACTTGCTACTCCAGGGCAGTGCTCACCCCTGGGGCTGTCCCAGCCTGCTGCAGTGTACCCAGTGCTTGCTGCTATGCTGGAGCAGGTAGCACCTCCAGGCAGCTCTGTGGAGATGGGGGATGCCCAGACCCTTTTTTCCATCCCATGTTGTCAGCTCTGGAATTTACTGGGAGTTTGTAAGCCCAGCAAATGGGAGGATTGTTAACAAGACAGTGAAGTTGCTGGGTTGTCATCTATCCAGATGGGTTACTATCTATCAGGTTGGCAGGATATAAAAACATAAGAACGGCCGTACTGGGTCAGACCAAAGACCCATCTAGCCCAGTAGCCTGTCTACCGACAGTGGCCAGCACCAGGTGCCCCAGAGGAAGGGAACAGAACAGAACCCTCTCCTGTTACCCATTCCCAGCTTGTGACAAACAGAGGCTGGGGACACCATTCCTACCCATCCTGGCTAATAGCCATTGATGGACCTAACCTCCAGGAACTTTAGTTCTTTTTTGAACCTGTTATATCCTGCCACAGCTCTAATCCTGGCAGAAAGTGCCATCCAAGCAGCTCTTGCTCTGTGTTCTGTCCACAGGCATTTATGGCTGGGCCTGGGCTCCGCTTGTGACAAACAGAGGCTGGGGACACCATTCCTACCCATCCTGGCTAATAGCCATTGATGGACCTAACCTCCAGGAACTTTAGTTCTTTTTTGAACCTGTTATATCCTGCCACAGCTCTAATCCTGGCAGAAAGTGCCATCCAAGCAGCTCTTGCTCTGTGTTCTGTCCACAGGCATTTATGGCTGGGCCTGGGCTCCAGATAGAAGCCCATCCTGTCCCAGGGGAGGCGGGACTTGAACTCACAACCCTGTCCTCCCCAGGTGAGCACCCTGTCCCCTAGGGCACACAGGATTCTGCCTCACCGCCTTACTCTCTGCTGCAATCACAGTTTCCCCTTGCCAGATATGCTGTAATCCAGTGGCAAGGGTGTCAGTGTAGCACTAACCCTGCCTCTCCAATGGCCACAGTTCCCGCCAGTGATCATGGCACCCTCACTCACAACCTGGAGCTCCCAGAATGTTTGTGGTGACCCTGTTGTTTGAATCCTGGCTAGGACCTCACTCTGTCAGCACTGTGGGCTGTGGCATAGGCTGCTGCTTTCCCAAAGGCCCTGACAGGGCTCCGTATGCTGAGAGAGGCAGCGGAAAACATCATTATCAATACATGACCCTGAGCCCAGTGCTACCTGCATGGACCCAAGGGTCAATTAGCTGAGGTGGAAATAGCCTGGCAGCTCCCTGCATCTAAATCCAGCCTTTCTACCTGCTGGCCTCTACTTGGGACAGGGAGGGACCACACCAGGTCAGTGGCTTTCCAGCACACAAATGTATTTGTCTGGAGAGTCCAGCACCCCCACAAAGCTGCCTGATGCTGCCAGAGTGGGCTCTCCTCTTGTCCTCTTCCTGTAACCTGCTCCTTTGGCCCTTTCCTAGGTGTGAAGTGAAGTGTCACAATGGGATGTATGGTGAGAATTGTGCCTTTGTGTGCAGTGACTGCTTCAATGGAGAATGCCACTTTGAGACTGGCAGATGCCTCTGCCAGGCAGGCTCTCACGGCACCTAGTAAGTAACTCTTGTGTCTCGCCCCCTGTGTGTCTGGTACTCTGGTTGCATATGGATTTGGGCACATGGGTGGGGCTATCTCTGACATCCCCAGGAGAGGAGCCCAGAAAAGTGTGACAGTGACCAGTGCTTAATTTGTAATGAAAGAGGAGCCAGGGTTCAAGCAATTTACTTTCATAACAGATGTGTCAAACCCAGAGGTGCTAGATCTGTAAACTGCCAAGCCTAGAGCCCTGGCACAAAGTAAGCACTGACAACATCCCCTAAATAATCTCTTTGGAGCCTGGAAGAATATACAATGTGTGGAGGTGGGTGCCTTTTTATTGGAATCACAGCTCCCTCCATGGGGAGCTAATTGATTACTATTTGTTTTTGTCCTACCTGGGGTGGCAGGTGAGGGGGGCTTCACGTGTCTCAGATCAAGTGACCATTCAATTATTAGTGCAAAGTTATCCTTATTTCTTCATTCCTGGCTTCCATCTGCATCAACCCTATCAATGAGAATATTCTGGGCATTGGGTCTGTTTCCTACTTTCAGTTGCAGCACTGTCTTTTTGCATTTTCACAAACAGCCCTTTTCAGGCTGCCCGCTTTCATTCAGACACTCAAGCAGAATTTGCTGAAGAATACACCTGAATTTTGTGAAATTTTCCCTTTGTTGTTATGCTGGTTTTTACTGTCAGATCCCAAAATAGAGGGACAAACTGAACAAAATTCTTCATACAAGAGAGTAAGTGCTAGTAAAGCAGTATCTTACTTCCCAGATTCCGTCACCATTTGTCAAGGGGCCAGTCCCCTCGCCAGTCCAAAAGTCCCCAAAGTTAGTGTAGCTCCCCCTCTCCACCCGGTTACCTTCTTTAATGCCAATCTGCTTACAGGTGTCTGTGGACAGGTCTGGGTTCTTCTGGATTCCACCACCCACTCAGCAGGGTCTATCCTCTTTATTTTTCCCCTATCAATTTATTTGGCGGTGCTTCTACCCCCCTCGCTCCTGCCTGGCAGGGTCACTAGGGCAGCTTGGGAGGAAATCCCCACTTATTTTTTGAAGTCTCCAACTATCTGGCAAGTAACACAAACACACACAATATGTTCAACAGAATAATTATATTAAACAGGAGACAAATGTAACATAACAGGGTAAAACACTATTTTTAGGTTCACCGGTGCCCACGCTGCTAATACCTGTGACTTCCCCAGTCACGTGACTTGATGTAGCAAATATAAGATTAGTGTAAATCCCTCCACAGGTTTAATATGCAGCTCTTTGTGACACACTAGTCAGACACAAAACCAACACCCCAAACCCACTGAGAAACTCAGGGCAAAACAAATAAACAAGCAGACCCCCCTCAGAAGATTTTTGAAATAGAACAGAACATCATGTGTTACTCATATCACATGTCTGTTCATCCCTCAAACATAAATGGACACACCTCATACAGCACAAGAAACCTGTAAGGTTGTGAGGAAAACACAAAAAGCCAGGAATCCACTGGTGTGCTTGGTTTGTAATTAGATCAAGGCAAATTTCTGCTGACAGTTGTCATGAGTCTGCCAGGTCCCACCTGAAGCACTTTGAATTGCTTACGGAAACCTCTCTGTATCAACCCTTTCCTGTTGAAAATATCTACTGCAGTCTTGTTCAAATTCCTTTTGGTGATAACTGGCTGATAATAGAGATATGCTTTTCCTGAGAATTCAATCAAAGTCACTGGGAATTTTTCTTGTCTAGTTACACAGTCAGGAGCCTGACAGTGATTGCAGAAGAAGGCATGAACAACAATGTGCTTTAGCAGAGTGCTGGTTTTTGTTTTGTTTTGGATGCACAAAGTGGTACCAGCTCAGGATGACTGAACCTGAGCGTTCTCTCATCTCCTTCGTTATATTTCCATTATCAGCCCTTCTGGTGGATACAACCACCTTAGGAACAATTCATTGTCACCAACTGTGGCGGGGTCCTCCCACCTGAGTCCA